TTTATTCTCCTGTCAGAGTCCGTTGGTTAGTCTTCTTCAGCTTTTGAAGAGTTTAACATACTTCCGAGTACAAGGCCAGTATTTTGTAGGATGACCTTCAATTTAGGTTTCTCTGATGTTCTTATCATGAGTACATGGAAGTTACTATGTAGCCCAGACTGGACTTGAACTCACAACCCTCCTGTTCCGGCCTCCTGAATGATGGAAAATAACTGAGTTCCAAGTCAGAGGAAAAACTATGACGTAGCCCACTGCCTGCGCAGCCCACCTCAGACCACAGACGATACTGGCCTGTATGCCACCATTGGCGACACTCACCTTGCGCATCCCTGCAGGAGCCGTCTGCCAAATTCATCCACTATTTACTTATCAGTATTCCCTTTCTCTGTTCTTATAAGGCAAATCACCAAGCCCAGCCCACACTGGGAGTGGGAGAGACCTGTTATCATGTGGTGCCTTACTAAGAGCGGGGAATCTGTGTTGAGAAGACAGAGGAAGTCAGGGTTTGGAGCTAGTCTCAGCTGTCCCGTTCTGGCTGTCATTCAGTCTGCCAGGGGGCTCGCTGCCATCTTCCCTCTGTAAGTTGCTCAGGATAGCATTTTCCTCTCCACAAGGAGGGAAGGACCAGAGGGACAGGCCGTGGGGAAGGGCTCTCAGCGGCCAGACTTCACGGGATGACGTCAGAAGCTGACGTTCCTCGGGGCAGCCGGCGCTCGCCGGTGTTTGTTATCGCAGCTGCCCTTCTCTTGCTCGCTCTTTACTACAAAACTCTGTCTCCTTCTGCTCCGACCTCCATTCAAGGTCACGGCCACTGGAAGGCCTTTCTTGGTCCTCCTACGTCCTCACACAGGCTTCGTGCTATCGCCCCGTTACGGTGCTTGTGGAGGCGAGCTCTTCTTCCCACATTTTATTTTTGCCCCAGTCACTTGTTCCCTTACACTAGCTGTTCTCGCTCCACCTAGGACAGGGTCTTGCTATGGCTTAGTCCTCCCACTCAGTTCCCAATGCCTAGGACAGAACTTAATGAGCTGGCCAACAAGGGACGTTTATTGGACAAAGACAAACATGGGGATATATATTTTTCGACAGGGGTAGGGAACAGTACAGTGCTCAGTGTTCTGGCAGATTCACAGCCTCACAATAAACCCGTGTCACACATTGCACTTAGCCTATGAGGGAATAAGGTTTTGATTTTGCCAGAATTAGACAGTGTGGAGAGCAGGACTCTATCTTGGGGATAGAGACGTGGTTTTATTTCAAGACACCTGTGTACCTTGGGCAATGACAGTCCAGAAAACGTTGACTAGGGTTCTGAGACAAAAAGCTGAATTCAGTAGAAAAATGTGCTCTATGCTTTATTTTTAACGTTTAATGAGTAAACAGCAAAGCGTACTGATACGTGTACATGTGTGGCTATATAATACCTATATTCTATATTATGCATTATAAATTCTTACATTTATACACGTATACATACTACTCCTCATCCTCAGACCATTGCAGGGTGACTACATCTGATTTTCTGACTTACACAAAGTGCGCTTAAGACAAGTCTTGAAAACATCCTTACCTACATCACATCTTTGGAATTTTGTATAGATAGAGTTAGACAATAGACATTTCAGGTTTCGTGGACCCTGCGATGACCTCTGGGCAACTACCCCATTCGTTTTCTAAAGGGACAAACATCCACGGAGCGTTAATCAGTGGCTTAATAGGTGTGGTTATAGTGCATTAAGATTTCTTTTGCAAACGAGGCTGCGGGCTAGATTAGGTGGGCTGTGTTTTGCCAACCTCTGACTTTATACCCATTCTACCCTTTCAATAGCCCTTAAAATACCAATTTTTTTTTAAAAAGATCCCTCATTAAAAATTATTAGTCATTCTTCTCTCATTCATTGGGCTGCTTGCTCCACAATCCTGAGATCATTTCTATATTAGCATATTCCTGGCACTTTAAGAGTTATCAAAAAATATCACCAGTCACCAAATGTTTCATTAATTACTGCAAACATCTTTAGAAAGAATGCCACAGTGGGTTTCTTTCACTGAGTGATTTATTTCAGATACAGTTTCTGTTTAATTAATAGGGGATTTTGATGTGACCCGCAGGGTGTGAGAACCAACAGAGTCTGCGGTTTGGTTAGAAGCAAGCCGCAAGCCTGCCCCTGCCTGTCGAAGAAAACTTTTCCCGAAAAAGAAAAAAGTAAGCTGGCATTTTTCAGTTATGAACATCCAGCCGATAGCTCATTAAGGGTACCAGTGGGATATCTTTAAAAGCAAATTAAAAGATCGTGGAGGAGGAGCCAAGATGCGCAGAGCTGGGGGAGGCGGTGCGAAGGAATTTGGCTTCCTTATGCCATACTTAAAAATCATGCCATCTCTCAGCTGTCTGTGCTTTGTGTCTATGCCTTGAGTCCTTAGAAAAGCCGATGCCAGCAAAAACATCAGGATCAACAGGACAATTTATTAGGCTATGCCTGGCACCGTACAGCAAAAGTCAGAAGACACGGTCCCTGCTCTTGAGGAGCCAAGTCTGCCTTTAAGTGGCTGCATTTGAACTTCTGGCATCCTGAAAGCATTTAATCACTTATCTCAGCAATAAAGCTTATTTTCTGAGGATGCATTTGGAGGGAAGACGGTTGTTGTTTTCAATTATCAATAAGCAAAATGCCTCCTCCACATTTCCCTAAACACCAGGTTGCATTAGTTTCAGTTTTAATATCCTGCCAAAAAGAAAAAAAAATCCCCAGATATGAAGCAAATACATCTGTCTAATATTGCTGCTCAAAATGCCACCGCATTAAATAAAATTCCTTGCTGTAAAATTTTGCAAGGTGATAAAACTAAAATGATATAATAAATATAAAACATCTGCATTTTCGACAAGACATTTGGAAACCAATTTCATTTATATTTAAACTTGTTTTGAAGTGTTCCTAGTTTTGAAAAACATCCTACTTACAGCATATTGGGTTCCCCATCCATCCACCCCAGGCCAAAGATTAAAGAGCCGATGCTCGAGTAGAGGATGACTGGGGAGGATGTTGGGGATTCCAGAAGGAACTCTATATGAACATTCAGCTGGCTTTCCATCATAAAAACCGAGCCGCACATCCTCATCAGCGTTCCTGCAAAACGGATCATCACATGTGCGCAAAACTGTGTTAAAACTGCGTGAAGTTTCTGGCAACAGTTTTAACAGAGACCCCCAGAAGCAGAGAGTGTAGCAGGGACTCTGGTTCCATGTGCCTAGGCAGCAGGCCCCTAAACAATGGGAGAACTGTAAGGACCACCCACCGCCTCTACCGAGGTGGGCATTAGTAGGGAAGAGCCTCTTCCAGTCTGGCTGGGAAAGCTTGCATCTGAACATCTGGGCGTTGAATCTACAACAGCTCAGAAAGGTCTCGGGTTTCCTTTCAAAACCCAAAGAGACAAAGACGAACAATATGTGAGGGGCAGCAAGGGACGGGGGGACAAAACCGTGCATCTGTCTGCTGCAACTGCAAGCATCCTCCATGCTTCCTCGTCAGCGCGAAGAGAGCTCAGAAGCCTGGATTTCCAGATGGGTGCTCTGCTGTGATGCCCCGTCCCAAAATGCCGTTTTACCCACCTTTCATCTCATCTATCTTTCGATTAAAATTCCAGCTATCAAGCTGCCAAATTAGAAGTGACTTCTTTGCTTGGTTCATCACGAGCTGCTGAATGGATAAATGGCTTAGGATTGTGGGGAAAAGCAAGACGGGTGATATAGGCCTGTAATCTTCCTGCCTCAGCATCCTCGGGGTCCGGTTGAGTTTAAACAGGAGAATCAAAAGTCCAAGGTTGGCCTGAGCTACAGAGTAAGTTCAAGGCCAGCCTGGGGAACTTGATACCATTCTGTCTTAAAATTACAAAGTAAAAAGAGTTAGGAATGTGGCTCAGTGGTGAAATGCTTGCCTAGACCCGAGCAAGTATAGTAACCACAGACTAAAAACAAAATGTACTTCCCATTAGATAATTCTGACTAATTCACCATGTGCCTGGGCTATTTTGCGTTATATTACAGATATTTATCACGGAAGTAATGGTAAATAGTGGTAAGTAGCAGTACTCATGCCATAACTAAATGTGAAGATATTACATTAAAACATATTCAGGGAAAGTTTTTGTCTTCGTTTCCACTTTGGATTTGGGTTTTGGTTTGTTGAGACAACCCCAGATAGACCCAAACTTGCAAAGCCTCTTATCTCTGCCTCCCAGGTGCTGAAATTACAGGCACACAGCACTACAAATGACCAGGGAAAGTATTTGGAGAGAGAGAGAGAGAGAGGGAGAGAAAGAGAGAGAGAGAGAGAGAGAGGGAGGGAGGGAGGGAGAGAGAGAGAAGAAAACCTTCCCTACAGAGAGCGGGACAGCAGGCTTACAAGTGACTAGCTTAATCCTAGCACCCGCAACGTCTGTAACTCAGAACCTATTTGGAGAAACTGCTTCAATCAGGTCTCCACATTGCTGCCCCATGCATGCGCTTTGGACTCAATATGAATGAGCCCCGAATCACAACACGCTAATTCCCCTTTTCTCTTTTAAGGTACTTCTTCCACACCCCGCAGACTCCGGGGAGGTTCTCTGGAGAGGTCATCGCAGACATCCTCCAGTCTTCCTGCCCCTCTTCCCTTAAATCAGCCCCAGAACACAGTTTGCCTGGTGCTTTCCTCACAAAGGAGACGGCCTGACCTCCTGAAAGCATTTGAGTGTTCGGATGGTTTTATATCATTTTTAAGTGCTCAAAGATATTGATGCAATCTTATGAAATATTGAACAGAAAGCCTTGCGGGCAAGTCAGAAAGCAGCCGGCATCCTTCGACATGGTGCCCTGTTCTAGCCATAGATATAACTGGTTGAGAAGTATGAAACTTGGCCCGTGATTATTTATTTATTTATTTATTTATTTATTTATTTGCAACTGCGGGCATTTCCATTGTACCCCTCCCCCACCCGTTCACCCACTTCCTCTTGGATCACGCTGGCTGAGCATTGGAGACTTTTTCCCAGTTTGATCAGTTATTTGCCAGGTCACGGAGTCTAGTGCCGAGTGTCTGTTCCAGACCCAAAGTTTTGCGAAACCAGTCAGTTCTTTGGGTGCCCAATCTGGCCATGTCACCACTTCCTTCACAAAGTGTCCACTAGCCGAGTGAGCTGCACCGGAAGGCTCCTATCTGCTCAGACTGCGGAGCGAAGCCATACTCTAAGTCTCGCTTCCCCTCACATCCCTCACCCAATCTGTCGGCGAGAACTGCATGTACGCCCGTGTACGCCTTGTGTCTGATCATGTCTTCCCTCTTCCTTCAATGCTGCCCATGTCATTATCCTCTTAATCTCCCAGTGGATTCCATGTGGCCACCTGGGGCACATTTTCTGAAATACAAAGCAGAGCCCATCCCTCAAAGCAGAGCCCATCCCTCTTCTATTTATACCCTATGCATCTGCCAATACTATAACGATTAATAACTAATCATAATTAACTGAGTGTTAACTGTATATGAGGTGCAGGTCTTAGCAATCTGTATATCCTAAGCAATTTAACCAAAACAGCTATCCTTACGTCCCTCCATATCAAGGCCAATGGCACGCAGTAGCACAGGGGGCAGGTTGAAGGGCAGACCTGTCCTCCCCTTGACTCTCCAGACCCACTTCTTCATGCCTTCATGTCACTTTAGGATACTCTCTTCCAGGTGTTCGCCACGGAGCCATGGTCTTTCTCCATCCACTTCTTCCATGAATGCAAATCTTTTAGTCTTTCTTAAAGGTCACCATCGTAAGGAAGCCACCCGACCACAGTGACAGTGAGACAGATGGGTGTGACCTTCCCTCCACACCACCAGCGTTGCCACCTCAGGAGAGCCTTTGGGTTTAAAAACCTGAGGAGGAGGAAGGAGAGGTGCCTCAGTGGCTAAGAGTACTTGTAGTTCATCCGGAGGACCCACGTTTGGCTCATAGCGCCCTCATCAGGCAGCTCACAGGAGCCGCCTGTAACTCCAGATTCAGGGATCCATGTCCTCTTCTGTTTTCAAAGGCATTCAAAGGCAAATATGCACATAAATAAAATACTTTCTAAAAAGATACAGATAGGACATTGACTCTTAAGTTTTATGACTTACCATTTATATCAGATAGTTCGTAAATACCCTTGTTTTTTGGCTTGCTTTTAACCAGAAAAAGATGCCTAGAAAAAGAGTGGGAAGTCTGTAGAATATTTGTAGAAGTTGCTTCTCAGAACCTTGGGCACTCTGAGAACCTTCTCACCCCCATTGGGGTGAGAAACTGCTTCCTGAACACCTCTGCAGACTGGAAATCAATGGCACCGTCAACCTTCTCTCACAAAAGGGCTCACTCGACTTTTTAAATTATATCTGTATTTTTTCAAATATTCCTATCATTCTTTATGTAGGTGATTCAACTTACGAGGGAACATAGTGATAATACGCTAGTTCATGCCAAAGAAAACTTTTTATTGGCTTCTCTTGTGTTTCTAGCTTGCTTTCTCCAGCTGGGATATCAGACATAGCCATCCAAGACTGTGATTTACCGTCTCAAACAGAGTCGTTTTGCAGTTCTCAGTGTTGAAGTTGATGGCATAACATTCATGACTCAAAGCTCTGAGTGGACAATTGCAAAAAGTTAGAGACAAGATTAATATTTCTCTAAAGGGGGAAGTACAAGCAAACTTCAGAGAGTGCTAGAAGTATCTCGGTCGAGAATGCATTGTGACGACCCTACAATACCAAAGGGGACAGAGACGGCGGCACCACCACAGTGGCCTGAAGAACAGTCCCCTCCATCAGACATCCAGACATTCTGAATTAAGCTAGTAGATTAAAGTAAGGTTGTCACGTCACGTGGCTATGCATCTAAATAGAAGCGACATTTGGGCTCTTAATTATTGATTGAATGCTTATGATACACTCATCTACCGACAGTCACAACCTGTGGCAGTACATACTGATCAGATAACCACCACTCGCCAGATGATTCCTGAGTGCTACACAATATGCAGGGTAATTTGCATGCTTTATTTTATTACATATTTGTCAGAGAGTTGGGCCTTCTGTATCTAAGGTTGGAGGATTAAGAATTGGAGGTTAGACTGGGCAACAATACATAGCAAGGCCCTGTCTCCAAAGGAAGATAATACATTTCTAGAAATAAACTGAAAGAAAACTATAAGAGCCTCACTTGGAAGTGATGAAATTTGAGCTAAATATGAAACAAAAATAAGTCAGAGAGTCAGCAAGAGATGGGGAGCCCGCCCACTTTAAAATAATGCCTAAAGAAGAAAAAGCATGTCAACCAACTCCTTCAAACCAAGATGTCCCCACTGTCATTTTCTAACCAAGAAACAAAAATAAAGAGAGTCACATGTGACAGAATCAAGACATTCCACTTTACCTATAAGCAGACTAACTAAACAAATTAAAAGCTCGTGGCTTCTCTAGGGCACACTACATACCCTCTACCACAGACTTTAGGCATTATGGCTCAAAGTCAAAGACGCTAATGCTGACAGTCTAGATCTGGGTAAAGAATAATTTGCACTTTTGAGACTGTCCCTGAGTCAGTCTTTCTAGTCTGCACTTTTAGAATTAATAGACATGGAAACATTTGCTTGCCAACTATGAATGTGAGCTTGACTTCTCTACAGACATTAGATACCCAATTGTCTCAACCTCTGGATGGGGGAAACAGAAGAAAGATAAAGAGGGATGGGGAGGGAAGAGAGGAGATGAAGGGAAAATGAAAAAGGGGGCTAATGAAGGAAAGAAGACAAGAAGAGCTGAATGAAGAAAAAGCAAGGAAGGAAGAGAAGGGGAGGGGAAGATTTTCAGAACTTAGAGCCAAGAAAGTCCCAAGGGCTCACTGGGGCCCATAGATCATTCTCTCTTTCCACCAGACCCATTATCCTCATGAGTTAAACAATAAAATGAATATATCTCAACCGTAGAAGACCTGGTAAGAAAATTTCTGTGGGATGATCTTTCTGTATACTGTGAATATGTATTATTCCCATTGGTTGATAACAAAGTTGCTTTGGCCTATAGCAAGGCAGGATAGAGCCAGGCAGGAAATCCAAGGAGATACAGGAGAAGGGAAGAGTCTGAGAGACACCAGCCAGCCACAGTGGAGGCAAGACATGTAGAAAATAAGGCAAAAAACCATCAATAACATGGCTAAACATAAATAAGAATTAAGGGCTAACTTAAAGATAAGAGCTAGTTAGTATTAAGCCTGAGCCATCAGTCAAATATATATATATATATGCCTCTAAGTGATTATTTGGAAATGGTTGCAGGATGAGGCAAGACGGAGAAAAGTTTCCGTTTGCAGAAGATGTGATTTTTAGTCCCATGCAGCATGACCAGATGGCATTAGCTTGTTTTTGAAACATAATGTACAACAGTAGCCCTGCAAACCCTATAATAGTGGGGTATGGGCTAAAAGCTGCCTCTATGGGCTGACTGCAGAGAGGCTCCACACTGCCAGCCCAGACAAGGTCAGAACAGTGTGGGTCAGAGTATGAATAGCCTCTACCATCCTGTTCAACTGAGCAGAGGCCATGGAACAGGAACCAGGCTGGAAACGGGTATGACCAGGGCATGGAACACTCCCATATGGCACAACAGCTATCTAGAGAGATACATTTCACATCTGCCTCCTTATTGTTCCCAAAAGTAAGGAGTCGTGGCCTCTAAGCATTCTAAGTCTGGCAAAGAAAGAACTGCAAGCAACGTTATTAAAACCCCTCTAATCCTACTTCCTTCTCCAGATTGCTTTGTCCTTGACCAAACCCAGCCTACAAATAGATGAAGAATGTGGGCTTAATTTTATTCTCCTCCTATTTACGACAAGAAAACCAAAGTCTAATCTAATTGGTGAGACTGGCCTGGCCTGAGGTTAGCACATGGACTTCAAGAGTCTGATATTTGGTTTACAGAGCTGGTCAGCTTGAGATTAGACAAGTTGTATGACTTCTCTGTGTCTGGTCTCCTCATATGTAAGAAAGGTAAACCTACTCCTAAAAGTATTTGGTAAATCAAATGAGTTAATCTGTTCTAAACAAATGTTAGTGACAGACATAGCTGGTAGTGATCATCATAGCTGCTAGTGACAGTCATCGCTGTCAGCGACAATCGTAGTTTCTCATTTTCCTTCTCCTTTTCTAAAGAGGTGGGAAAACTCTGCTCTTTGCCTCCTGTAGTTTTCAGTCTTATGAGAAGACAGATATCAAAACAACAGGAAAAATATACTACCCCAAACCAAGGGTGAACTACATGCAAGAAACCACACTTGTTTTCCACATGGTATGGAAGAGGTAGGGTCCTGGGTCTGGGGCAGTGGTGGCATTTGACAGAGAAACATGGGAAGAAACCAAAGAGTTACCTTCTTTTGAAGGGGAATCTTTGCCAACCAATTATCTTTAAGAGGTGGGACCAAGTTAGGGTGTGGCTTTCTGGGACCTGGAGAAAAATGGCATGTGGCCCAGGTGCCCTCTCTCTGTGTGGTTCCCTCACAGCACTGCTGAGCTTGGACTTCTTGTTCCTGTTTCATGAGTTTTCCCCTTATAATAAATAAATGTATAATTGTTTTATCTTTCAACTAGCCTGGTTATTTCCCAAATCAAGCTAACTTCTACAGTTGGCACCCAACATGGGCCTTGGGTTTCCAGCGGCTCTAGCCAGCTGCCATCAGGCTCCATGCCATTCGTTTGGGGATAAAATTCTTGCGCGGTGGCCCTGAGTAGCCACAAGCCACATCCTTCATATTTTCTCATTAAATGCCTCAGAGCTGCTCCAAGTCCTCAGGTACCTTAGCCAACTACAATTGCTGCTGGCTTCTGGGTTCAGTTTTTCTGGTGCTCACAGAAGCTCAGGCAGGATATGGGCTTCTCCAGTTGTCTCTGTTCATCATTGCTTTCTTGGTCTCTTTGGGGTCCTGCTGCTGCTGACCAGTTAGGGACTTCCACAGAGCACACAGTCTGTGATTTACACTGAATAATTGTTTTAATTTGAGCATATCTTTCAGTATTTAATGCTAAAATCAGATTCAATCCAGCCATGCGGCCACAAGTGCGCCATGACACCTACAGGCAGGTAACAGTTATTGTACCTACTCCAGCTCAAACTCAATTACAGGTAAGATTTAGAATTTAAAATATAAATTATAAATTTATAACTTAAAAGGGCAAGATGATGGACAATTTCACAATCCAAGAATTCAATAGCTTTTTTACTTATACCATATGTAATATTATACAAGGTTTATATGATTTCCCTCTTACATCCCTCTATTTGATTCTGGGGATTAGCTTTGTCCTTCATATTTGCTCCTTAACCTCAATCACTGACAAAGTACATGGTATCCTGACTGGATAAGCAGGACACAAGGAAAAGAACTGTCAAACTTTGCCAAGACAGGGTAAGATGGTTCTAAAAAAAATTTACTGCCTCTAAAAATGGTCTCTCAGTTACGCTAGGCCTTAGCCAAAGTTGGTTGCTTCAACATTACAAATGAGACTTTGAATGCTTGCTCAGGTAGCCAATTGTCTCCATCATATACTGCTTGCTTTGGAAGCTGCTTGATTGCACTTCCTGCCTACTCAAGTAATATTATCTCCCTTCTCAGGCATTTGATGGGGTTGAAGATTAGATAGTTGTAGTTACCATCCTCTTATGATCTAGCCAAGCCTATTTCCGATGCAAGACTTAGACTCTTTGGAATAGAATGTCTATTAAAGCATTTTATCATGTGTTCCTTGCTTATTATTGTTTATGTTGGTTGTGATTTTATAATTGGTATCTGTTCCTACTGTATATAGTTTTGTATTGGGTTTGGATTGCTCTTATTTAGACAAAAGGGGGAGGTTATGGGGAGCCTTTTCCAACCAATTATCTTTAAGAGGTGGGGCCAAGAAACGGCGAGCAGCCCAGGTACCCTCTCTCTGTGAGCAGCCCAGGGCCTTCTCTCTGTGTGGTTCCCTCGCAGCACAGCTGAGCTTGAACTTCTCGTTTCTGTTTCATGAGTTTCCCCCTTATAATAAACAAAAATATAATTCTTTTATCTTTTAGCTAGCCTGGTTATTTCCCGAATTGAGCTAACTTCTGCATTCTTTTAAACACTCTTGGGAGGTGGTTACTCCTGTTATCCGCAGAAAGAAGAGACTGAAAATCTCCTCTCTCTACGACCTCACCGTGGGGGATAAATGTGGTAAAAGTACACTGAGCACAGCCCTGCAGCCAACAAGGGTGAGTCCCCCACAAAGTTGCCCCACTTCCCTCCCTGCAGGTCAACAGTGTGAACAGAACTGTGTATTACGATGAGAAGGGGGCAGGTCTATGATAGCTATATATGCCATTAGGATCTGCACCCCTTGCTGAACCGTGAATTTGAAATAATTTAGGTGATACATACAAATTTAATTTCTTTGTTCAAAAAAAAATCCACATCTGAAATGATCCTCTGCAAATGCAAGGCTCTGGCCGAGATCTACAAAATGAGTCTCCTTCTAAACTCGTCCACACTGTGTGGAAATAATCTTCAAGGAGAGGAATAAACCTATTTTAAAAACAGCTGAGTCCTTTAGATCATATACCCTAACCAATTTATGGAGATAAATGGAATTCAGTATTAAAGAAATATTTTTCCACTCCTCCGGAAAATGTAAATGCCAGCTTCAAAATAAGCAGAGGGTAAGAAAGGAGAGAAAGGGACAAAGAAATCGAGAACAGAACAGCATGGAGACCCAGAAAAATCAACTGATGGACAAGTGAGAAACCACAGCCTTGCCCCTCACCCCCAACTCCCCATTGAAACAAAGGAATGTATGTGGGAACATCAGAGAGCTGCCTTTCCACCATCAGGAACAGAAAAGAGAAACATAGTCTCTCTTCTCATATGCCTCCCTCCCCTCCCCTCTTCCCTCCTCTCTGGTAATCACGCTGACTCTTTCCCAAACCATAGCTACTCTTACATTAAACCTTATGCTAATTACCAGGAGTCATGAGAAAGTAACAACGAAGAAAGAAGAAGAGATAACAAAGTAATACTGTGAGGGATGGCTTCTGTCGTATTAATGTAAATGAATACAAAATACTTTTTAAAAAATGCATTAGGCAGATATTGGCTTATGATGAGGTCAATATCACGATTTATTTAACTCTGGGGACAATAAATCTTGATATTGACTGAAAACATAAGTCAATATGTGTACTGTTGTATGCATTCTATTACAAAAATGAGGTTTTTAACTTTAATGACCACTTTCACAAAGAGGAAAAATAAAGGCCCTCAAATTCCACCTACTGGGGATGGGCTTGCTCTTGGACTCACCGTAGTTGGTCAGCTGGTCAGTTAATACGATAGATTGACTTATTGGTCCTGATGTTTTACCCTTCTGTATCCACAGCCTTTTCTCTTCCTCCTGCACAAGGCCGCTTCTCAGGGGTCGGTATGTGATACCTTAGCCAGTGGAACAAGGGCTGAAGTTTGTCAATCCCCAGGCTGGTCTCAGGGAAGCACATCATGCTCTCCTGTTTTCTCGGGCCCCTGCTCTCAGGACTGGATGAGCCCCTCTCCAAGTAAACGCTGAACTTCAAAATGAATCCACTTGAAGCAGACCCAGAGCCCAGTGTGACCTTCAACTGAAAGCAAAGCTGCAGAAATCCAACCTCAGTTAGTGCCTCCAGGCAATTTGTACAGGCGTTTGCTGCCCTCGAAGATGACTGTGATTCAGCGGTTATTATACAGCAGTAGGCGAAGAATACACGGTAAGCATTTTCTAGTTACCACTACTCCCAGGTCACAATAAACTACTCCTTCTTTAAAGAAGGTTGGGGACACGTACCCTGACTGCAAGAAAGCCACGATAGACTGAGTGCCATTAGCAAATGGTCCATGTAACCCAGACATCTCCCCCAACCCCTCAGACTGAGATCCTAACCTCCTCAGCTCTGTATACATGCAGAGGTAGGCTCATATCTTACCAGGTTCTAAGAAAGAAATATTAATTCTAAACATTGGTAGATTGTGAAGATCAGGGAGACTTCCTGGGTGGCAAACAGCATTCATTAACCCCCATACCAGGCGCCTTGTTTTCCTTATGACCCTCCTCAGCTCTACCAAAACAGGATTCTCTTCCTATTCTTCCCACCTAGCAGTCAAATCCTCAGCTACTCCCTCCACCTCCTCCCTCTCCCTGTCCTCCTCTTCCTCCTCCTAGAGTAGCCTCAAGATCTTCAGTTCCTTTCCCATGGACCACACCGGAAACCTCAATTGTTTCCCAACTTAGACTCTACACTTGCACGGCCTAACTCTAACTTTCTTTGTTCTTAGCCAGTACAGTACCCTACAGCAACCCTACAGCAAACAAACAGATCTGCCTTCGTTAGAAGAAGTTGTTTGAGAAGGTTCTTCAGTATTTGGGGCCCCATAATAGTAATTAAAGTCTCTTTTTTCTGCATTGCACACAGGAAACCCTCCAGAGGGAACTGCCCTTATTTCAAGCATGTGTGAACCTTTGTCCTCTGGGTATATCATAGCTATTGTCATCTTGAAACCAGAACAACTAGATTTACCCAAACCAAACTGTCACAAGACCGAGTCCACTACACTGCCCTGGAAAGGTGAGAGGGTCCACAAGGTCCTCCCTGAGGCTAGACACATGGGTAACAACGGCTGAGGGTGGGATGTAGCGGCTCACAAGTAGCCCATGCTCCTGTAAGCTAACAAGCTAGACTAACATGGAATCATTTCTCTGATCTGCTGTTACCATCTTTATTGGTGAAGAACGGAAACAGACTCCCAGGACACAGCATGCCAACACCATCCATTCTGCTCTTCCCAGGAGGTCTTGACTGAGTAGCCACTGCTCTAAGGACTGGGAGGGTAGCACTGAACGGAAGAGTGGAACACTTGCCAGCACGGGTCAAATACCAGGAAGGGAGATTCCGAGCTGTGGAAGACTCCAAGGTCCTTTGTCTGAAGAACTAAAGGTAATTTTATTTTTAGAATGAGATGATTTTCTTCTCCCAAGTTTCAGATTTTTATATTCCTTATGTCCATCATATTCTATATGAAATGAGTTTAAGCCGTCCATGTTGTACATTCCAAGCATTCTGTACAGAGAAGTAAACCACTTGCACTTTATTATTCTCTTTCTTCCCATTTCTAGTGTGGGGTGGGAATAGCAGGCAATTTAGTTTAGTTTCGGTTTGTTTTTAAAGGATCTTTCTACTTTGTCTTCAGAATTATTCTGATGGCGTAGTACTTGGAAGCACATGATAAAACTGTAACGGGGGTGATGGCAAAGGGGAAGGGAGACCCTCTGAGAAGTCAGAGGATGTTCATAAGCCCAACAGAGGTAGCCCTGCCTGCCCCGGGTCCCTGATTGGTGGAACCACACACAAGGAGGTACAGAGACTGCTCACAGCCACAAGGGAAGAAGTCCTTCTATTGAGATCTGTAGATTTTTATTGAGTAGACAAGCCCTCTGGCATGCCCATTCCCCTTTAAGAAAGGACTTATGCTTAGTTCTCTGCTGGATAGATTTGGGATGGGTGGGTTGAGGGTGGAAGACACTGCTCCTGCACCATTGATAGCCACTTCCTGACTTTTAGTTAAGAAGAAATAAAACTCTGTAGGTTTGGCTGGGTCCACGGATAGCCAGTGAAGCCGTATACTTCCTAGACATTCCTGAAGCTGAGAGTGACCATGTGGTTACATTCTATGGAAGGTGGGTAAGTAGGTATCATCCATGTCAGTTCCGGAGAGGATAGCGGACACACATGCACACGCTCCTCGCCTGGCTTCATTCCCTCCTCACCTCCTTTTATTGGGTATGGTCCCAAAGGAGCACTGATGGATCCAAACAAGGAGGCCAGAGGTTGAGGATGCAGTGGTACCCTGGCAAGACCTATACCTCCAGCAGTTGTATCAGAGAGATACAGATTTCTATCACAGTTAGTCTGCCAGACAGAGGAATCCCTTTGACACAGCAGTTTAGCCCAAACCCTAAGCAACATGAGAAAGACAGTAGTATTACCATCATTACCATTTAACCCAGGAAAACTAATTGTCCATCTGAGCATGCGCTTGGAAGCAGGGCTGCTGGTGAGAAAGGGATATCTCAGTGTCTGGACTCTGCATTAAGGATCCAGGTCTCATCTCCCTTGGACACAAACTCCCATTCAAGGCTTCTACACACAGCTTTACATAGTTCATGTTATGTAGCCGCTGACAACAGTTACTTTCTAGGCCAGTGGAGCAAAGGCCCTTGATGGTGTTAAGAAGGGCTAAGATCCTAGAAGGTCGAGCATGGGTTCTTAGACATTAACAAAAACAACTCTGACTGTTGCTTTCAGTCCCGAATTTCTGAAATCGGATGCTCCTTGAGCCACTGAGCTGGCTTACTGTCCTATCATGTCTCCTACAGAGAGGAGAAATTATTTTCCAGACTGTAGTTTCTCAGCAGCCATTTCCCATCAGATAAGGAGGGCAGCGAGAGGGACTCTGGGGAACGGCCCTTCTGTTGTGGGGAACTAGAAAACAGAACTGGCAGGCTTTGTTACTGAGATGGGTCCAGAGGCTTTAGTCAGATGCCTGCCTGCACACCGTTCTGGCAGAAGAACCACTTAAGTTGGCTCAGTTGTATGTAAGGTTTGGAAGAAATGGGACAGATACTAGAAAGATATTTTTCTGAACTCTGGGGGCAAGAAATGGAGTGGAAGAGTGGGTAGATCCAGAAGGAGCCAGACACAATGAGTGGTCTAGGTCCACTGTGGTCCATGGGACCATATCAGCGAGATGACTGGCCACCCCCATTCTGCTCTTTGGCATCTGTCTGACTCAACTGCTCCCACCGGAAAAGCCACTGGATTTTGTCTCCTATCAGCTAGTAGACTCTCACTCTGCAAATGCCTAGTTGTTCTCAACGAAGACTGGCATCACAGGCAATTCCCAGGGAAAGAGACTGCAGAAACCAAGAATCCCCAAAGAAGACCTGCATCTGTGATCCAGTTACCCCACTAGAGGGTACACCCAAGGGGAATCGTAAGTCAGCCCACCACAGAGACACACACACGTTTACAGCAATGCCATTCACGACAGACGGATACAGAACCAGCCTAGGTCCAGTCAGCAGATGAATGAAGGAAACGTGCTAGACACACACAATGGGAAAGAATTCAGCCAAAAAAAGAAAAGAAAACAATTATATGTATATGTTACAGGAAAAATGGACGAAACTGGGAATCATTGTGTGGAGTAAAATAAGCTGGACTCCAAAGGACAAATATCACATCTTCTCTGATATGTGAACTCAAAATTACGAATATGTCATATGGAAGTAGAATAGGACATTTGAAGAGAGAAGGGTATAAGTAGAAGGGGTGAGAGAAAAGGGGGTTAATAGGTTAATAGAGTGGTAGATACAAGCAAAGTACAATGTACGAATGTAGATGCATGAAAAGGTTACAGTGAAACCCAGGGCTTGGTACACTGGTTTGAAATTGTGTTGGATGATTGGGATTCAGCACAGATGTCCAGAGGTTTTTGGGTGGAGACAACTGCATCCTGAACACTTTCCTGGTTCTGTAATAAATCCCTTTAGCCAAGGTCATCTAAGCAAAGAGATCTTAATTTATCTGTTTACTTATGCGCTCAAACATTCGATAAACATTTATGAGCACTTTGTGCTCTGGACTAGGAAAACAAACTTGAATAAAAAAGGACCTTTTTTTCCCTTCAGAATCAGGCAAACACATTAACAGTTACTTCCCAGAGCTTCAATATTTGAAAAAAAATCAGGGGAGGAAGGTCATATATACCTCAAAAGGGGAATTTAAAAATAACTAGCTAAAAGGGGGTCTTGAACGGCTCTAATGCAAGCTGATGTTTAAACCGAACATAAGCTCATTTACATAAGTAAATGTATTTGCACAGAACACATAGAAATCTCTTAAAGTGGTTAGCCAACAGCAGGGCTCATCGCACCCTTCAGTAAGATCCCTCACTTCAGAGGGATCTGCCACGCCACCTACAATGCCACTGCTGCCAAGAACCTCCAAGGCCAGTTTTTAGTCCTCTTGCCCATTCAATGCTGTTTAATCAACAGTATATGAGTCAGACATACACCACCAGTTAAGGGTGTCGACACAGCATTTTTCTGGTGCATCACAGAGCAGTCCAGACGCATTCCTTTTGCCAGTTGCCAGTGGAACGAATCCAGCCCGGCCCCAGCATGACATTAAAAGGAGATTTCTTGTGGCTTGCTTTTCTTTTGCTTCCCGTCAGCTTCATCTGTTCACTGAGAGTGCTAAAGAAATTACACTTTTCTTTTTAGCCGAACGACTACGACTACCACTTCCAACGACTTGATATGTATAACTTGTCTGGTCACACAATGGTTTCTTTTTTTTTTCTTTAACTTTATTTTTGTGTGTGTTGGATTTGTTTTTTCACGCCAACATCTTAGTTATAGGGTAACTTCACTCTATCGAAACACAAAGCTGCTTGACACCACTGTGCATTACGATTTGAGCAAGGGACAGTATTCAAGCAGTGACTCTGTCTATAATTGTAGAGGAGGATGGTTGTGCCACATTGCCACAGACGATTGGTACCTGCGAAATCTCCAGCGAGAGAAACCTACACATTCACAGAAATTTTAATATCCTTATACTTAACAACAACCTACAAATTGATTGATGCAAGCCTACATCACAAAAAAAGAATCTCAGAAAATGTGTACATGGGTGTGCTTGCTCCAGAACAGAAGACAGTTGAGCCAGATCACGGCAAAGGCAGGACTGAGTTAGACACCAGGCGAAGGCATAGAGCGGGGTTTCTCAAACCTTTGCTACCAGTCACCCCTTTTTTTCCCTTGAGGAATTTTTATGCAACCCTGGATCTATAAGCATATTGGTTAAGTATGTAAGTCAAACATTTATTAATAATATGTCATAAAATAGTTTGTTCTGAAACAATTATTTGGTATACATATTTTATCATTTATTAGAGATTACAGAAAATTAAAATACTAATGAGATAGATTACTTATTTTTACACAAGGAATTAAAATCTCAGCTGGATATTTGATACCGTGGGATAGAGAACACAGCCTCAACATTTTTCAGAGTTGGTCATTATTTAGCTGTTAGAATCATCAGGGCTGAGAATGTCCTTTCAGTCCGTAGTACAAAATAGCACAAGTACCTGAGACCAGTTCTGAAACTCTCTCCCAATCCCAAACCAAAATTCACTGACCCTTTTTTTTTTAATGAAACTCAAGTCAGCAAATCAAATAGCATATTTAAAAATCAAATATTCTAGCCCAGTATAATCCAAAGGCATTCTAATTTAATACTTACATGCTGAGTAGGAAAATATTAAAAGCTTTGTTTTACATAATTAAACCATTATGTTTCTGTAAGAGCATAAAAGTTTGTATGGACGATAAAGACACTGGAATGTCTGTGTGATAGACAACACTCTCAGATCGTCGCTGTAGTGGTCAGGCAACGTTTGCTGGTATTACGTGGCATGACACAGTGCCTAATGTGAAAGGGCCATGTTGTGTGTTCAGAACCAAGACAGTGGTGAAGTCATGTTTTGCCACACAGATGAGAACTGCCAGAAACACTCTGGATTCATTACACACTTGATTTTGAGTTAATGGTTGATCACTGAGCATTTAGAAACATCATTGTTGCCAAAGTCTCTGTCATCCTCACATGCACAACGTCCTCCCGAGTCTTGATCCAGTTTCAGAAGCTGTGGTGTAGAGGCAGAGACGTCACAGCACAATCAGCTCTTATTACAGGATGGTCCATGAAAATTAAAGAAAACTCGTGCCTTCTTAAAGCTGAGGCAGGAAGAGCGAACATTACCCGGCTGCCCTAAAAAGAAAGAAGCTCCGTCCACCAGAGATGTCGTCCGTGCAGTCGGGCCCAGCTGGGCTGTCTCAGCATCTACTTCATGACAGGCAGTGGGATGCCACCAAGGCACTTGACACAGGACAGTTATCTCCACAGGCTTCCCTTCTGCCTGTCATCTTCCCCAAACACCCAAAGGTCAGAGGTCAGGGGTAATGGTCCCCATCCTTAGCCCCAGCAGTTACTGGGGAGGCAGACAGGTGGCTGAGGCCAGCCTGATCAACACAGCGAGTTCTAGGTCAGCCTGGTCTACATAGTGAGTTCCGGTCCAGCCAAGGCTACGGAGTGACATCCTGTCCCCCCCCCCCCCAAAAAAAAATCCATAATGCACTTAGCCATCCTGCTTATCACCTTCCAGTACAACAGGCTACGTGGTGGCCCTCTTAAAAAGATCACCTATCCATCCCCAGTTCAACTTAAAACACACATTAAAGAAAAGCTTACAAGCCCAAATGTTGTTGATTTCTCTCAAAAAAAATTATACAACTGCTAGCTCAATTAGGAAGGATTCCCCCAATAATTGATAAGAACAACAAAACGCAATACGATAGCCCTGAAAAACCCACGACTTCTTTCCTATGCTTCTTTCTTGTTTATAGGCCACCATCGCTGACTCCGAATCATGTTTCTAAAACAAAGATCTCTCAGAGCGGAGCATCTCTCTTCTTTATGCACCTGTGCAGGATGCAGAGAACGGAGCAGCAGGGTAATGGCCTCTTTATCCTGCCCCCTTTCCCAAGACAGTGTAGTGACCTGGATGTAAGAGGGAGGGAAGAGAGGCCCCCTTTCAGTATTTCTTCTTTCTCTCTGTCTTTTCCTCCCTCATACCTTCAAGGACCTCCCTTAGAATGAACATGGAAGTCGTCATTTGGTGAGGAATTTGCATGTGGATTGGCAGCCAGTGTAGCAGCTCCCAGATTAGAGTCATCCCGCTGCACACTAAAAGGGCACAAAGAGCTAGAAGTGCATTTCCATCTGCCCTTCCTTTCCAGTCAGTGCATTCCCAGCCACGGCTATTGATGAGCACTTGGAACAATACCAAGACGCAGTGTAAGATCAATCCTGCTGTTTACTTCGTGGAGCTAAAGGAACAAAGAACAGAAGAAAGGCCTTAAACCCGGCCCTTGCAGAGGAGCGGAATGAAGGGTGAAAAATGGTCTGCTGGGCAGTTGCACAGAGTAAATGTATTTGGAGACGCAGCAGTCCCGACTGAGATTTAAAAAAAAAAAAAAAAAAAAAAAACAGTGATGATTTGTATTTTGGGCTGTATCTTCAGGGGATAAAAGCACTTCAAGCAGATAGCGTTGGAGGCAAACTCGAAACATTGCTGCAGAGGGCTGTGTTCCTTGCCAAGGAGAGGATAAAAAACTCCCTAATTGCTGAGGAGTGTTAAGTATCTGATTGTCCATGCCTCCCTCTTCCCATGGGGAGGCAACTCAACCAGCCCCTCCTTCTATCTTCTCAGGCCCATACTCCCCAACAGTTGGCCCGGGCCTGGTATCAACAAAGCAACAGGATGCTGGGTCTTACTTGGATAAGACCCAGGAACTGTAATTTGTGGGATTGCTTCACTTTAAGCCTTTTTAAAGTTGTTTCAAATGGGGAGCCCAGAAATTTCCTTGCTGCCAAAATAAAAGAGAGGATATGTCGGGATAGAAACAGAAAGCATGAGAGAACAGAGGCAGAAACAATACATAAATGCAAATGTTTCTAGAAAGAGAAGCCAGAGGGATGCAGCCACTACAGCAAGGGAGGAATTCATTTTCTGCATGAAAAGCAGGCATAACATACCCGCTTCCCCTTTTGGTAAAACCACGTGGCACTGGCCCTCAGAAACGATGGGGTGATCCAGGCGAAGGAAGGAGGGAAGGAAATTCAGGAGGCACACTGGCCAGAATGGACACATCTCCTCAGTTCAACAACAGTGAGAGTCAGCTTGCACAACTCAGAGACTAGCTACTTCAGCTTTTAGCAAGGCAGAGCACCAGACCCCCAACCCACACCGATGGCAATGACTCAGGAGGGGACCTAGGAAACACTTGTGCTACTAAGCAGAGAGAGAGTCCTTTGAGTCTCCCTTAGTAAATGGCCCTAGCTCCTTTAGCAAACTATACCATCCTGAGTTAGATAAGTCTCATCGTGGTATCCTCCATCAGACCCTAACATGTCCCTCAGGCATGTCAGGCCCTTTAGGCAAGCTAACAAGGATGACATATAATTTGGTCCTTGTTGTTGCTGTCTGTGTATTTGTGTGCTCTGTCTCACCCTTAAATACCCATTTCTTTGAAAACAGGCGCCTCCATTCAGTCTTTGCAACTGTTCCATGACCAGGCCAGCATCCATGCTCAGTAATTGCTGGAAAACTGATTCGAGTACTGAGTCTCCTGCTCTGGAGAGAGCTGCCCTGAGAGCCATATTGGGTGGAGCATTTGCTGTGGAGAAATAGCAACATTTTGTTACTCAGACAAAAGGACAGAACATCCTCAACTAAACAATCAAGGTCTTGGCCACATAGTGGCTGAGTTTGCCACATCCGCAAAGCAGGTGTGAGAAATTAACTACGGACTCACAGGAAAAGGAAGTCCACGATACAGTAGGAATGATACAGAAAGTTTGTACCCACAGACTACAGACATGCTCTGTGCCATAACTCAGTATTGACATAGAAAGCTAAAAGAAATAAACCAGCCCGAGACAGTGTCTATATATTGTCAAATATCTGCAAATTTTAACTGAATACACATTCCACCAATTAGTAAAATGTTTTGTAACTAGTGAGTCCTTCAAATTCTCGTTCCCCCCCCCCCCGCTCAGATGTTTGCGAAGCACGTGGGCACACAAGCCCCAAACTTTTGGAGGAGGTTTTCTTCCAAAGAACAACTTTCAGCATCCACAACAAAGGCATATCAAGACAAGGATGCTTCTCGTTGTTCATTTCGTCTGAGCATAGAACACACACTAGACACCATAGAGAACATTAAAGGAGACTCAATTTCAGTCGAAAGGGCTCATAATATAAATTAAGAAGACACATGCTAAATTAAATAGACGCAATTTAAATTAGATGAACAACATCGTCAGATTTCCCTGGTTCCTTCCCAGCAGGGACTAGAGGAGGAAGTTGCTCAGAGGCCCCAACACACAAAAGGGAGTTCCGGGGTCAAGAAGTCACTGATTAGATTTGCTGTACATATACTATGTCCAAATATTAGCCCCGAGACTTCCTTGGATGAGAATGACACGGACTCCATGGGGAGGAACATAGGTACTGGGGATGGGGCGGGACTCTGTTTTATCATAATGATAACCTGCAGCATCTTAGTTTGCTTAGAAATTCCCAGTTATTATCCAGTTAGTCCTCAATTTCCCACATTAGAAAACTAATGATTTAGAAACTTTGTGTTCTACACACACACACAAATGAGCCTTGATCTTTTCCCCCAAGCTAGAAACGTGTGACTGCCCAAACTCTAGACATCCTGTGACACTTCTTCAGGATGAAAACGAGCTACCTGGGATTTACCTTCTTCTTCCGAGGCTGGCTAGCAATGAACGCATATCCAGAAGCGGTTTCTGTGCGTGAAGACGTCCCCTAAGGAGATAAGGGGAAGAAAAACACAAACAACCTACCCTGTCTTGATACCGTGTCAGTCTCCTTTGTCTGAGTCAGTATTAATAACAACCGCCAGTTACAGTGCTTAAAACATGTCAAGAAAGATGCTAGGCTCTCTGTGTTCACGCAGTGTGGGCTTGGTAAGCCTGACTGCGTGAAGATTAAAATCTAACGTCTTCTTCTCCTCATTATTTTCATATATTCCAAACTTTAGCTTAAAAAAAATAGTTTCTTCTGTCGGCACCAAAACCTAAACAAGACTCCATAGGCATCTTCCATGCTAATTCTGATGACTAATGGGCAGGTCTGAGAGACGCCCCTTTACCCCAGCACAGAATTTAGGGAGTACCTCTCTGCTTCTGCCCATTGTAGATCACTTGCCAACGAAGCCATCGGGTGGTGTTGGGAGACCAGAAGGCCACATCTAAGGCCGCAGCAGCCCGTAGTTAGCATGTCTTCCTCTTGCATCTCTAATCTTGGAAATCTGTTGGATGCCATGCAGGGCAGAGACCACCTCACAATTTTCTGACACTCCCACCTCATCCACCTGAACCCTGATATTAGTGTTTCCAGTGACAGTTACAGGGGTCGGGAGAACATAACTGTCTCCCGATTGTAGGATAGCCACAGAGGGACCTAATCTTTAGATGGAAGAGCTTCCTCCTCAGACAAAGGACTATTTCTCCCTGTGCAGTGGGAGACATTAGCCCTTCTAATATCCTTTCTTGTGGAAGGTGTGTTTCCCAGGCTTCGGAGACAGGGATAATTACATGGGGATTTGCAGGTAGCAGGGAGTGGGGGAGGGAGGTTGCAAAGCAAGAAACCTAGCCACTTGATCCAGTGGCGGGAGCATTCTCTTGCTCAAACCGAGCATGGCTTCAGTGCTGACCTCCCCTCCACTCAAAGACAAGTCTTAGTTGTGAGAGCAGGCCTGTAAAAAACGATTCCCATAGCCTGAAATGCTAAAATCTCCAGGAGCTTTTAGCACTTCTTGGCCTGGCCCATGAGTCCAATTGCTAGGCAGATGCTCTCGGCAGCCTCTGCCGTCTTTGCTCCACATTGCGACTCAGGCAGTGAGGGAGCAGAGGACAGTAACTTCACAGCTAAAGCTGGTTGCAAAAAAATAAAATAAAATAAAACAAAAACAGAACACCCCACTGTTTGGAGAATCCAGGCAACCAGCAGTCCATCTGCCGCAGCAGCCAGTGCGCTCAGAAGCCTTGTTTCAAGGGCAGAATGTCGGAAAGGGAAGAGGTGTAAAAGGCGCAAAGAACAGACGCTGTCGTCCAAGGTGGGGTGTCTCTGTGGGCAGGCATGTTTCCAGTTCAGTGATCTGAGCCGAAACCAGGGCACAGGCATCCTAAAGAGCCTGTACAAAGCCATCTGCTCCAGCGAGCAAAGGGACACCCTGCCCTTGTCGAAGTGCGTGGGGAAAGCTCGTCAACCTCCCCACCACCTGGAACTTCTGCTGGGTCTGGTGGGATGGTAGCTTTCTTACCCGTAAAAGGAGTGAGGGGTGGGGGCGGGGAACATGCCATACATTTCAGAGTGCATCTCTTTTGGCCATAATTTGGGTTGGTTGGGCAGCTGGCCATCAGGGGCTTGGTTACCTTAACCCATCTTCCTTTATAACTCTTGTAACCATATGTTAAGACCAAGCAAAGGCCAGGGTACAAGATTCCTCAACAAACGATACATTGGAACTCATTGTTTAAAAGTAGAGAACTCTTGTGCTTATGTTTAGGTGACTCGGAATAAAAACAAACAAACCAAAGCCATCTCCCCTGTGCTGTGCAGCTCAACAGAAGGATGAAGCCACATCCTGTGTGCAGAACAGCCTGAGACATTGGTTGGACAAGCCCCGCAAATTGACCCCAGAAGGACATTTGGAATGTCTGTTCCCCTGATGCACATTTTAAAGTATATTTCATCCTTATCTTTCCATTTAATGTCCCTGACAAGAAAGCACACTGTTTAGCAATGTAAGTGCCTGGGACCATCAGTGCTCCCCTGGCCACACTGACCGGGGTGCACATTCTGAAGCCCCTTCTCAGCTCCGCTCATGATGACTTTCCACCGTGCAAGTGGACAATATCAGCCCCTTCTCCCCGCAAAGCACGAAAACTCAGGCAGCTCCAACCTTCAGGAGAAACTTTACCAAAAACGGAACCTGTGAGATGGCTTCAGAGATAAGAGCCCTTGTAATGAAAGCCTGAGAATGTACATTCAGTCCTAGGAACTCAAAATAAAAGGTGAGAACCAGTCAGAAGTTGTTCTGTGACCTTCATATATACGATGCAGCATGCGCCTGCACTAACATCCCCCAACACACACCACACACACACACACACACACAAGCTGGGGCCCTCCGTCATACACATATCAGCATGTATAATGCCCCCCACCCAGGAAAGTGTAATACGCACAAGCTGGGATCAAGTTTGGACTAGTAACATTTCCATTAGCCAGCCCCTAGTAGGCTGGGATTGAGCTGGGACACACATGGACATCATGCATGAAGCTCGTGATACATGGGAGAAAGAAGGTCCTTAACTGATCAGCTCCCTGGCTATCATTTCCAGCCCCAAATCTCCACCTCCTTCCTAGGAGAATTCAACAGTTCAGGGTGATCCCTTCACTTTGAAGCACCCAGAAAGATGCACTTAGCTCCCATCACTGGCATCAAGGCGTTCCCCTTCGGCCACTATCCCAGGAATAGGTGACTCTGTCACTGCATCGTTTGCTCTGTGGTCACTTGCGCAGTCCCCATAGCACGGTGATGGTGTGCCTGTAACACACCGGGTGGCCTTGAAAGGTCTTACCAGAGCTACTGGATCTCAGTTCCCTCTAGTGTGTACTAAAACGGTCTGGCAGCCCTGAAAGGTAACACAGATGGACTTTAGTAAGCTAGAGGCAATGTCCAGAACCTGACTCAACTTTTCTCCCCACTGAGAGAAGGAAGGACCATGTGGGTCTGTGTTTGATGTCAACTCAAGCCAACCAGGCGTGCTAGGACCAAGGACACCAAGACTCCTGCCCACCACCATACCCAATCCCTCCAACACTGCTCCCTGGATCTTCCTGACTCAGGCAGTAACAGCATCTTGAAAGGGGGCATCTTCATATGCCCCCTCAGAAAGCCATTGCCTCTGACTAGTCTCTATGTCTGCACAAGCCACACAGTTTCAGGTTTGGAAAACTTGCAAGCATCTTCCCTTATCTCCACGCCTGTGGGAAGCTCCTAGGTACAACACCCAAAACAAAGGCCACCCCACTCCTTCTCAGTTTTGAGACTATCTGACATCACATCTGGGAGGAAATGGGGGTTAAATTGTGTTATAGTTAAGCAGAGGACTAGTAGCATCTATTTGTGGCCTCCAAAGTTATTTTAAATATTTTGAATGTAGACAAATCCCTGCACCAGAGACACTGGGAGCCTCGCCACCTTTAACTTGGCAGCTCTGTGTGTGAGCGGAAGTCCAGCACACCAAGCTGCCCTCCCCACCTAGCCGTTTCCCCACAGGTGTGTGCTCAGACTGCGGAGGGCTTGGAAAATGGCCTTCTGCACATTCCTGCCTGAACAGGCCTCCTGTGAACACTGTCGAGGGACAGATTCCCTCCCCAATTAGGATCCCTGTCTGGGGAAAACAGTGGCCATTTCTAGAGATGAAATGTAATTCCCATTGCTAGGCACACCAAACTTTCAGTTATTCATTCAAAAAACAGGTTTGGAGGGGTGGGTGACTGGGCTACGGAAGTGAATGGGAACAGCTGTAAAGTCTGGGATTAATTAAGAGCAAGTGAATATATATTAATTGCAAATCGAAACAAATGACCCAAAAAGACTAACTGGTGTCCAATGGACTGTCACAAGTAGACAGATTTGGGGCATAGGAAGGCCTCTGGGAAGAAGCAGCATCCTAGCTGAGACTGAACAAGTACAACCAGCCTCACAGTGCAAACTCTGAGGGTCGCCATCCCTTTGCACCCAGCAAGAGCAGGATGAGCCTAAGCTTTGAGCTGCCATGACCTTTGGCTGGCTCACAGCGAAACACAGCTCGATTTCTCCCAGGGCATTGTAGGGAGAGGAGGGTGGGATTCCACTATGTTCTTCACCCGGCCGTGGGTGTCGCCAAGCCCCTGGCCTGCTGCCTCTATGGAAGACGGTGTATCAGAGTGCAGAAGAGAGAGGGGACAAAGCAGAGAGCCTGGAACTGGCCCTATCTTAGGAGATCAGCAAACTGACTTTCCAGAAGACAGGTGCAGATGGCTCGCGCATCCATCAGTAATCAGCATTGTACCTCACTGTCATCTGGTGACACCGGCCGGAACATCAAAGGTTTGGGACATAGAACCTGGGTTCTCACAAGGCTGACTTCAAGAGCTGCCCCACATCTCTGAGCCCTTCTGAGAGTCAGCCTCCCGCTGACTAGTGAGTTTGCCAGTGGGGCAGAACTAAGCAGGCACATCTGCTCCAAAGTGCCTCTTAATTGTGGTCCTTTGGCTATTTACTTAAGACTCATTTAACTAGCTGATGCATTATCAGATAACTTTTTAGAACCGTCTTGGCTAATAACCTCTCACCCCAGTCCATTTGCTCAACAAAGACACTCAGGCGCTCTCCACAGCAGGGGCTGTTAAATAGAAACGGTGAGGAACGCAAATGTGGGTTATATTTCAAAAGTTGTTTTAAAACAGAGAAATTACTTTTAATAACATATTTAGGGGGTAGGTCATAGCTGACTCAGGAGCAAGCATGAAGACCCAAGTTCAATGTCTAGAACCCACGTTTAAACAAACAAACAAACAACAACAACAACAAAACCATGGTCATTCTCTTCTGATCCCAGCACAGAGAATGTAAGATCAGCAGCTTCCTGGAGTTTAGTAGCCAATTAGCCTAGCCTGCTGCCTGCCCATAAGCTCCGGGCTGGCAAGGGGAAAATGAAAAAGGAAAAAGAAAAAAAAAAAAAAAAACACGACCAAAAGCAATTTAGGAGGAAAGGGTCTTTTTGGCTTATAGGGTACAGTCCATAATTGAGGGAAGCCAAGGCAAGAACTCAAGGCAGGAGCTTGAAGCATAACCATGGAGGAATACTGCTTGCTTCCTGTGGCTTATTCAACTCTTTCTTTTAATCAGCTCAGACCTACCTCTGCCTGGGAATGGTATCGCCCATGGAGGGCTGGTCCTTCCTACATCCGCCAGCAATCAAGAAAATGCTCCTCCACAGACACACCCACAGGCCAGTCTGATAGAACAGGCCTCCACAACCCCCACCCTCACCCCCACACACCGACATGCCCACAAACCAGTCTGGTTCCTCAATTGAGATTCCTCTTCCCAACTCTCAAGCTGACAGCTGAAGTTAACTTTGATGATGGAGCCTGGGGAACAATACCCAAGGTTGTCCTCTGGCTCCACCCACACGTACATGCACACACACATACATGCACATACACACATACACACACATACATGCACATACACAAACACATACGTGCACACACACACACATGAACATGCAGGCACAAAATATATTTAAACACAATTTTTCTATAACCTTGTCCATTTCAACATGCAACCAACAGTTTAATAGCTGTTTAATATTTAAATAATCAATGTGCCGTTTTACATTCCCTTTCTTGTGCTGTTTTGAAATTCCAGGTGTATTCCATACTTACAACACAGCCCAGCTCAAACTGGTTCACAGTGCAAGTGTTTGCCAGTTACATGTGGTTACTGACTTCCGTGTTCAAACCCTAATTCTGCAGAAGTACACAGATCTTTATGCATTTGGATTCTGTCATTAACATAATTACAATGCACACATACTCACACACACATGCACGCACACAAATATTCACATACATGCACACAAATATGCACACACACACACAAACACACACACGAGATTGCTAAAGGTATTTTAAATAAGAGCAATGACAAAGCTGGCCTGTCCTGGCTCCTGGCTTCCAGGTGTGAACAATGCTTCCAGCTCTCTCACCTGAACTGTGTGTGAAGCATTGCTTAGTTTACCTGCTCCTTCATCTCACAAGCATTGGCCAAGCCTCCCCCTATTGCCTGGTACCAGGTGGCAAGAATGCAGACACAAACAAACCCGATCCCTGCCCACAAGACTCTGGCTATCTGGGTGAAAATCTCTCATTCTTAGATGCTGTCCCTTCCCTACTGAGAATTCGGGCGATGTAGGCTCTGGTTTTGGGCTCTCTGATAATAAGATAAGAAAGTGCCCTTGTTGAGCCTTTGATTCCCGTTGGAAAAACACATGAGCTGATATGAATACCTATGGAGTCACCTCCGCACAACCATCTGCATTACCCACTCTGCGATTCTCTTAACAATGTGTGGGAACATGGGTGAGCAAGCTGAGAGAACTGGACGTCCTCCCAGGAGAAAGGGCAACTTTGTCCCCTTCTGAACATTTCTCTTCTGGGGCTCAGAAATGCTCTCGCTTAGTTTTGCTTTGTTTTGTTTTAATTACATTAAAAATTAGCTAAAGCATCCCCATAGTCTACCAAGAAGAATAATTGGTTCTTTTGGTGCATCCAACTGTTCGCTGAGACCCCTGGTTAGCACACCAGGGGTCTCACACACATTTTGCTCCCAGGTAGTTGATGTCTAGGAAACTCAGAGAACTCATACGGCCCCTCATTAGCCCCATTTTGAGACAGCCCCAGAGGTGGGCCTTTAGCCACAGGCAGAGCCAGCTGTCAATTGCGTCGAGCCAGTAACATATTAGTTAGCAGGGGAGCAATCCAAGGAGGGAGCCACGGATCCAAATGCCTGAAAGATATTCAGAAAAGCCATAATTATGTCCCGCAGCTGCCAAGTGTCCTCTGTGGACCCAAGAGGAGGGAAGTAGCATCCGAGCTGTTAATGACAAACAACGGGTCTTGGTTGTAACTTCACTAACACAGTCCTAAAAGCATGACTCGTGATTCAAGCATGCACAGCGCTGCACCGGAGACTCTGGCAGCCTGATATGGGTGCTATGTGTTCAAAGCCCCCGAACAGATGTGTCAGGGAGCAGGGCAAAGGGCATGAAGAGAAGAAGGGTGAGAAAGAGGTGTCTATGCCTGGCTTCACTAAGCCTTCCAGGCGTCTATTTTTATAAGTGAAATCACCCCTTTCTGTCTTTTAAACCCTGAGTAGTTTCTTCATTCTACCTCAAAATAACTTTTTGCTTAATTTGGTTCTTAATGGCTAG